AGTTATCACTATTTATTCCTGGCAGTTATCACTATTTATTTCGGGCAGTTATTACTGTTTATCCCAGGCTACCAGTATGTATTACAGGTCACTATTTATTCCGGGCAGTTATTACTGTTTATCCCAGGCTACCAGTATGTATTACAGGTCACTATTTATTCCGGGCAGTTATTAGTGTTTATCCCAGGCTACCAGTATGTATTACAGGTCACTATTTATTCCGGGCAGTTATTACTATTTATTCTAGACAAGTACTGCTATAAATACCAGACTTTTATCACCATTTATCCCAGGCAGCTACTAACATTTATCCCAGGCAGCTACTACAATTTATCCCAGGCAGTAGCTATACTTTTTTGTCTAAAATGACCTTGGCTCCCAGGTCAACCCAGCAGTGAGTGGGTACCAGATACATGTCCTGGGAAGTAAAAGCAGTCAGCGTGACGCTGACCACATCAGCCATCAACTGTCGATTAGTCTATCAAATATGTATTAAGCCCTATATGCTAAATACACCTGAGGGAGGACGTGGAAGAGGGTCCTTTACTTTACTTACTGATCTCAGGCATTTATTACTACTGATCCCATACAGTTATTTGTACCGAATATTCGCTTCGGGGCCGAATAGTGGACCTAATAACTTTTCGGTATTCGGCCAAATAGTTGCGGTCGGGCCGAATACGAATAGTGGTTACCTTACACCCGTTTCTAGACTGGTGGAAATTAAACATATCAAGATTCCCCACCCTGGTTCACACTGGCAAGCGTTATCTTTGTGCACCACCTACGAGCGTACCAAGTGAACGTCTGTTTAGTACAGCTGGAAATAGCTTCAGTGAGACAAGAAGCTGCTGACAACATGAAACGATTGTTTTTTTTTTTTTTTTTTTTTTGAAAGCTAATGCCACTTTCATGGATTAACTAAGCTGTCAGTGACAATTTATAAGTTTAGCTACTTGTTATAAAACTAAGAATACTTTCATTCCCATGTATTAGTTACCACAGACCGACTGAGTGAAGGATGCAAAACATGAAATGTTTTTAAATGTTTACTATTCTGAACTGGTTTTTTGTGTGCAGGATAAGTACAGAAATTTAAGTATCTGGGCACATGGATAACATCAGATGGAAGATGCATTACTGAAATAAGAAACAGAATAAAATGAAGAACATCTTATGCAATATATCTTTGCCATTGAAGGTTAGAAAAAGAATTCTTGCTTGCTACACACATCCAGTTTTAACATATGGCTGTAAGTCCTGGACAATCGGTAGGCAGGCCAAACAATTTCTTGAGGCCTCATCGATGTGGTTTTACATAAGAATGCTTAAAATACCTTGAACAGCAACAACAACAACAACAACAAAAGGCAACCAAGAGGTTTTGATAGAGGCGGGAGCCCGAAAACAACTACTCACAGACATCAGAAGGAGACAGTCATCATTTTTCGGCCATGTTATAAGATGAGGGAAAATGGAACATGTGGTGACCACTGGAAAGATATTTGAAAGGAGGGATAGAGGAAGACAACGAGAGAAGATTCTTGACAGTCTTGTTGCATGGCATGGAGGTGTGTCAGCACACGAACTAAAACAGGCTGCAGGAGATCGCAGATTGTAAAGAGGCATAATCGCCCATGCCAGTCGGCAAAGCACCTGATGATGATTCACTATTCGTATTCGGCCGAATAGTTGGTCCAGCTATTCGTATTCGGCCGAATAGTGAAAATCACTATTCGGTACAGCCCTAGTTATTGCCACAAATCATTCTACTATAAGGTGGTTAACTATATTTAAAAAAAATTTTTTTTGAGTAAGCTTCTTCTTCTTCTTTGCGATCACTGGCTGTAAACGCTGGTGGAAAGTTCTGGTTGTTAGTCCACTTCTGGACTGCAGTCCTGTTCTAGAACTTGAGTGTTGCGCATGCATCCGTTTGACAGCTCTGACACATTTGTGTGCAGAATGTTTGTTCCCTGCCTTTCAAGCAGGTGCACTCCGACTTTGAAGGAAGCTCCCAATTAGTCGACTCTTACAACATGCTTTTGGGTAGGCAGTGGGTCTATTCTTGTTTTCCCTATAATGGGGCCCCGGAACCCACACAGGGGTCTGAGTAAGCATACTGAAAGATTAACACCCAGTGACTCAAAAAGTCACTTTTTGGATGAGAATCTTGCAGGAGCAAAATTGTAATATAGTTCTACTGGAGCATGCAACAGTACCAAAGTGGTCTGCAGTTTAATTTGGGTGGGACTTGCTAAGATTGAATCAGTTAAAACAGAGAAAGATATTTGTCTATCAGTCTATGTATTTTAAGAGTATTATGTCTATCTATCTGTCTATCTATCAGTCTTTCCAGATGACAGTGTTGTATTGTGTTATGAGGAGGCACGGGACTCACAGCCCATGGCGATGGCCAGTGTGACTAGCAAGATCCGCCAGTGTCAAGAAAAGTCTTCCACAATTACAGCATGGGATTTCAGGACCGTTGTCAACATGTTTGTGTTTGGTTTGTTCCTTCCCAAACCACAAGTTTTTGTTTCCCAAACCACAAGTTTTGGTTTCTCAAACCACAAGTTTTTGTTTCTCAAACCACAAGTTTTTGTTTCTCAAACCACAAGTTTTTGTTTCTCAAACCACAAGTTTTTGTTTCTCAAACCACAAGTTTTTGTTTCTCAAACCACAAGTTTTTGTTTCTCAAACCACAAGTTTTTGAACCACAAGTTTGGAGGTTTCTCAAACCCATGCAAGTTTTTTTTTCTTAAGGAAGAGGAAGGTTTCTCAACCACAAGTTTTTGTTTCTCAAACCACAAGTTTTTGTTTCCCAAAACACAAGTTTTTGTTTCTCAAACCACAAGTTTTTGTTTCTCAAACCAAAAGTTTTTGTTTCTCAAACCACACACTTTTGTTTCCCAAACCACAAGTTTTTGTTTCTCAAACCACACACTTTTGTTTCCCAAACCACAAAAGTTTTTGTTTCCCAAACCACAAGTTTTTGTTTCCCTGTTGTTCTTGTAAGCAAGATGTAGAAGAAATTGAATTAATAGTCTTCATCTGCTAAATCTAACCCCCGGCACCCCCTTCTTCCTCCCATATTCTCTATTTCCATTTTGCTCTCTCATTCTTTCCTTCCTTGTTCTCTATTTCTATGTTTCCCTCTCTATCTTTTCTCCCTGCTCTCTTATATATATATATCTTCATATAATCAAATATTTTCACAAACACTTCAGTAAACAAACATTCTGGACATTTTTCTCATGTTTATTTGTATTTCTTCAAACCAACACATTTACACTGAGCATCAATAAAATAATCATGGATATCATTGTATTATTTTATTCTAAAACAACACGTGTAATACTCTTAAAATACATAGCAAAGAATAAACAAAATGGAATCCCACGTGTTTCCCATGGAGACCAACAAAAGTATGGACAGAGAGAAAGAAGAACAATGGAAGCAGAAATGACTAAGTGAACAATGACAACAATACTGGAATCATAGAATATACGTCATTTACAATTTGCCAGTTCTGATCATGAAAAACAAATGGAAAATGTGTGGCAGAGATTAAAAGCAGAATAGATGAAGCGAAAGCTGCATTTCAGGAAATGAAAAAAATCTTATGCAATAAATCGCTCTCATTTAATGTCAGAAAGAGGCTGCTAAAATGTTACATAGAACCTGTTCTGCTGTATGGCAGCGAATCTTGGAATGTCAGTGAACAAATTAGAAAGAATTTGAAAGCAACAGAAATGTGGTTTCTGAGACGAATGTTACAAATACATTGGACGACCAGAGTAACTAACAATGATTGCTTGAAAGAGGCTAATGAAAGTAGATCTCTTTATACAACAGGAAACAGACAAACACTTTTCTTTGGCCACATAATGAGAAAAGAGACATTGGAGAACACAGGGACAACTGGAAAGATCAGTGGAAAAAAGGGTAGAGGCAGACCAAGAAAGATAATGCTGGATGGGCTAAAACAATGGCATGGAGCGATATCATCAAGAGAGCTGTTCCAGTCAACCAGGGATCGTGATCTGTGGAGACGCTGGAGCGCCTCCGCCAGTTGGCAGGGCACATGATGATGATGATGATCATGAAAGACATCAATAAAGATATTCAGCCAAATAAATGACAGATATTCTTGAACAAATTCATTTAGCCTTTGCCTTCCCATCGCTTACCTCTGTCCACACACTGTTATTCAGGACAGCTAAAGATAGGGACTCTCCGTGTAAAGTGGCAAACAACACTGTGGAGGTCACAGCTTGTTAGCATCTTTTGGATATTTTCTCCAGGGTATGCAGGTGGTTAGGAAAAGACTAGACAAACAGACTGGTTGGTTCTGCACCACTTGTGCTACCCTTTGAGAGAGAGAGGACAGCAAGGAAGCACAAACAGATCATCACAGAATGGTGCAGTGGGAAGCGGATCTGGCTGACACTCAACTCTCTGAGGAAAATCAACACTGACATACAATCAGACCACTACTGACGCCACTGAAGTTAGAACTCTGGCTGCTGAAGGTAGGAACGGAGCACTTAGAGGAATCTCCAGAGTGCTGTGATATCCAATCATCATTAAATGAATTGAAAATCGACGTCACAGCACTCGGTACACCCCCCCCCCCCCCACATATGCACTCCGTTCCCCATCTTCAGCAGCAAGCGAAGAGTTACAATTCTGATCGTACCAACAATAGTCTGACTGTATATTCGTCTCGCCTGTCCCCTGAGTGTCGACCAGATCCCCTTGTAACTCGTCGCACTGCCATTCTCCCCAGACCATAATCACCTATCTGCGCCTCATTAAATGAAATATCTGACAGATCCATTCTACTCAACAGACAACATCTGTCAAAACAAAATATCTGTTATCCAATCATTATTTAACTGAACGCCAGCAAAGAATACAGAGAACTTTGCATAGTAAAAAACCCAGCGGCCTCCTCTCTGAACTGTTTCTACACAGGCACTGGACACAAGAACTGGCTGTCAGGATGCCGCCACTTGAGACAAGGGTTCTTCTAAATAAACAGCCATGGCTTCAATCTAGAAAGAGAATTATAATTGTTCAACCCAAGCTGTGTATGTTTTGGGTATAAAGTAAAAACAGTAAAAGATGAAAGAAAAAAACCTTGTGCTTTTCCATTTAACAAGCATGCTGTAAAAGGTTAATAATTAGGGGTGTTTCTTTCAGGGCTGGAGTACATGTACCTGAGAGGCGAATAACAACAACTGCATGCAAATATGCAAGATCAGTAAAGTGGATGTGCAAGCAAAATGCAATTTCTGGAACAGGACAAAAGTCCAGAAGTGGACGAACAACCAGAACTTTCCACAGGCTTTTACAGCCGTAACCTTAGTGGTGAACACTAAGGTAGGAAAGAAGGTATTTCATTATTTACAAACTCTAAACTCAATTCTCTGAGAAAAAATCTTTCACTACAAATGTAGCTTCAAATATTCATGACTGCCTCTAGTCCATGCCCCTGTCAGGTGTTAGTCAAACTTTGTTGCAAATCCTTTAGAGGACGTTGCAGAACCAACCCCAGCATTTTTTGCTTGTTGCGGTTTTTCTAGGCAAATTTTATGTTCACTACTTTGCCACTGCTTTCTGAGTGGTCAGCTCTCGGTACCACTGTCTAAACCATAGCATGACAAACCGTCCGCAGCTGGGATCGAACCCAGCACCCCGGCATTATGAAGTTCGTCCGCAGTGCCTAAGCCACAGAAGCCGACCCTGTCTTGTGTACTGGCAATAAATTGTGACACACAGGGTGTCCCAACAGTTTCCATACATAGAAAAACACATTTTAATGTGTGTCTTCCACTGCTGAAAAACTCGTATAAACACAGCTGTAGCAATGCTTGTCATCAGGAAAGGCTTACCCAGTCAACAAAGGCCAGCAGAAGTCAGATGTGTCTGCCAAAAAGTGCAAATATCATAGCCACATTGTTAATTATAGAGATCATCTTCATCGCACATCAGACTTGACCATAAGTGCTCCGATCTCCCCCTGAGCATTGTCTCCAAGTGTTCTTATGCTAACAAAACTGCAAGGCATTTTGTAAATGGGCACAACACATTTACATCTTCTGATGAACACAGAAGAAGGAGTCTGCTTCTAATGGCATTAGTAATATGTGTATTTTTCTGAAATAATGAAAATGTATGGGACACCCTGTAGATGTTTCTCTATGCCATGCTGCAGAAGTGTCTGATATCTACTCTCTTAAGTCTGCTGTTGTCAAGACATGTTTGTTGGGAAGGCACTGGGCCTATTCTTGTTTCCTGTTGTCAAGACATGTTTGTTGGGCAGGCACTGGGCCTATTCTTGTTTCCCCCACAACGGGACCCAGGAACCCACACAGGGGTTCTTTTGACTCTCTTATCTTCTAGTTTCCTGTTGTCAAGACATGTTTCCATGATCTCCGTCCCCATCTCATGATGTGTCAACAAAATGCAGATAACCAGTTCTCTGTGTGAATAACTTTTGTCTTTTTCAAACCATCATTTTGCCTTGAAGCTGTAATAAGTGAGAGGATTATGATCACAGCACTCTGGAACAGATCCATACGTGCTCCGATATCATCCTCAAAGAGCTCTATTAGAATGACTGATGATATGACGTCTGTTCTGTGTTGATTAAACAAATATCTTTTCCCCTTGGTGAAATGTTCATTTCTTGCAGCTCCACACTGCACCACGCCCTCCCCACCTACCAGCCTAGACAAGGACATTGAGGCATGCCTTTTATCGTATTCATTTTCACTGTAGGTGCCTCGTACTGTATTAATAACATTGCTTTTGTTTAGTACCAGATCAGTCAAAGCAACCGCAGTGTCTGCAAGATAACCCGCACACTTGTTTTCCCAAACACCCGTATGACTCAGCATAAAGATGAAGGTTAGGCCAGCCATTCGCAAAGTGCTTAGTTAAGCTCTCCACAGTGTTATCATTCTTCTATAAAACTCAAAATTCCATATAATTTCTCACTGATTTGACTGCCTTTGGTTCACCTCCAAATATCAAGATTGGTAAATTAATCTAAGGAAACACAACAAAAATCATATGTTAAACGCATTAACTGCAACAATCTTGTAAGACGAACTTACCTTTGTTTTTAGCATGCCATAACTCACGGATTCTTTAGCACATAAACACAGCAACAGATTTGCAACTTTGGTGATAGCAACTTTTCCTTGCTGCACATGAAACATTCATAAGTATTTAAGTTTAATTAATTAAATGTATTATCATACATTTACTAATATTTACATAATGATTTTTTTTTATTATCTGTCTGAGCTAACCTGCCACACCTCCCATACAAGTAGAAAGACATCACCCTCAAACATCAGGTTCTTTATAGTGCATCACTCTCATCACAGCAGGCCTGAAAGTCTATATTTATCTAGCCAATTATCTAGCTCTAGGTGAATTTATGTGCTTTCATATCTCTATTTATTACCAGGCAGTTATCCCTATTTATCCCTGGCAGTTATTACTATTTATCCCAGGCACTCATCACTATTTATCCCAGGCACTCATCACTATTTATCCCAGGCAGTCATCACTATTTATCCCAGGCAGTCATCACTATTTATCCCAGGCACTCATCACTATTTATCCCAGGCACTCATCACTATTTATCCCAGGCACTCATCACTATTTATCCCAGGCACTCATCACTATTTATCCCAGGCACTCATCACTATTTATCCCAGGCACTCATCACTATTTATTCCTGGCATTTATTACTATTTTTCCCCGGCAGTTATTATTATTTATCCCTGGCATTTATCACTATTTTTCCCTGGCAGTTATTATTATTTATCCCTGGCAGTTATCCCTATTTATCCCAGGCAGTTATCCCTATTTATCCCTGGCAGTTATTATTATTTATCCCGGGCAGTTATCACCATTTATCCCTGGCATTTATCACTATTTATCCCTGGCATTTATTACTATTTATTCAAGGCAGTTATCCCTATTTATCCCTGGCATTTAATAATATTTATCCGAGGCAGTTATCACTATTTATCCCTGGCAGTTATTACTATTTATCCAAGGCAGTTATCCCTATTTATCCCGGGCATTTATTACTATTTATCCAAGGCAGTTATCCCTATTTATCCCTGGCATTTATTACTATTTATCCAAGGCTGTTATCCCTATTTATCCCTGGTATTTATTACTATTTATCCCCGGCATTTATTACTATTTATCCAAGGCAGTTATCCCTATTTATCCCCGGCATTTATTACTATTTATCCTAGGCAGTTATCCCTATTTATCCCTGGCATTTATTACAATTTATCCAAGGCAGTTATCCCTATTTATCCCCGGCATTTATTACTATTTATCCAAGGCAGTTATCCCTATTTATCCCCGGCATTTATTACTATTTATCCAAGGCAGTTATCCCTATTTATCCCTGACATTTATTACTATTTATCCAAGGCAGTTATCCCTATTTATCCCTGCCAGTTATTACTATTTATCCCAGGCAGATCTTGAAAGAAACTGATTCACGAAGAGAACTAATTGCCCCCCATCAGAAGAAGACAATCTACATTCTCTGTTCATTTCATGAAGAGAAAACTTGAGCACATCAGGATGCTGGGAAGGTTGGAGTGGAAAAAAGGCATAGGGAGACTGAGAGAGAAGCTGCTGGACAGTTTGACAGCATGGTGTGGAAGATCATCTGTGTCAGAACTGACTGAAAGTACAAGAGACAGAAGGCTGTAGATAGACGTGACTACCAATACCACATGGCATGGAAGATCATCTGTGTCAGAGCTGACTGAAAGTACACGAGGCAGAAGGCTGTAGATAGACATGACTACCAATACCACATGGCATGGATTACGAAAGGCAAGATTGTAACACTGCCCATGGCATCTTATTTCCATGAATTATTTCGTCAATACCTACATTCATGGCACATGACGATTCTTTGTATCACAACAAAAGCTAACAATTCATCTACGTCACTAGATTTTAAAAAAACATCTTACACTGCATTCAACCAGGACACATTTGAGTTTGCCATCATCTAAGGAATACTGCCCACTTTTCTGGAAAGACGTCCAAATGTTGCTGGCAATGGCACCTGCGGCTGAAGCATCTCTGTCACCAAACCCAGCAAAGGCCAGCAAGGAACCTTCGCTATTCAAAAGGCTGAAATAAGGAACCACACATTATAACACAAATTGAATCGTGAATAAATAAATTGACATTTTACAAGATATGTTGAACACCATTGTCTTTCATACTTTGTACATCACATGTCAATATCTGTATGTAAAAGACCCTTTTTCGGCAAGTAGAGCACTGGACATACGATGCAAGTCTCATTTTATAGACCAATCAGCACTCTGTGGTTGATGTGGTCAACATCATGCTGACCGTCTTTACTTGCCAGGACATTATTCAAGGCTGGGTCGACTTAGTAGCCAAGATCAATATCTAAATGACTTCTTTGTTCTGCTCTCTATCCTCCACTCCAGCATAATCCCTCAACCAGCTCATACCAAGTTGTCCTATTCTTGATCATCGCAGATAGCTCTCCCTATGTTCTCCCTTCTTCTTCTTCTTCTGCGTTCGACATCAGTCATGCTAAACATTGAGTCCCGTCTGGGTCACAAATAGGATTGTGTTTTAAGGTCGCCACCGGTCTCCCATAGCTTCTGTTGCAATGTGGCTCCCTTGGGCCAAATCCACAGTCTTTGCTGGGAGAGGTTAGGGCAGTACTGCAGTATGTGCTCAGGGGTCTGTCTTTCTGCTCCACAATTTCCGGCAGCAGATTCTTTTATGCCTATCCTGTACAGGTGTGCTCGAAGACCACAGTGTCCTGTCCGAAGTCTAAAAATTGATGTTTGTTCTTTCCTGTTGAGTCTGTTTATGCTGTCACTCTCTGGTCTGTAATCTCCATTCTGCCTTCTCCACTCCCGCTTGAAAGACTGCTTTAGCGCTGTTTTGGTTTCCTTGTAGCTGTGTGGTGGATGAGGTTGTGGAAGATTACTCCCAGCTTTTGCCAACTCATCTGCTCTCTCATTTCCATGAATACCACAGTGGGCTGGTATCCACTGCAAGACCAGTTCTGCTTTCTTGGAGAGTAAGCCAATGTTGGTCCTTAGATCTGCAATTAGTTTGTCTTTTTTTTTGCTGGATAGTGCTTGGAGAACAGACCATGAGTCACTAAGTATAACAATTTGGTGCCTTCTGTGTTCTTGAGTGATGAGATGTTGGACTGCAGAAAGGAGGGCAGTTGCCTCAGCTCTGAAGTTAGTGCAGATGTCACCTGCTGGTAGAGAGAGAGTTTCTGCTCTACTGCTAGGGGGTTTAATGTATATTCCACAACCCCCCTTTCTGACTGCATCTATAGCAGAGCTGTCTGTGAAAACATGAGTCCAAGTGGTGTTTGGATACTTTTCATCAAGCATAGTAAGAGCCAGGGTTCTCTGTTGTGTCTCCGTCTGGGTATCTTTTGAAGTGATCCCTGGTACCTTTAGGACTACATTTGCTTTCTCTGGCTTGCTTGTCCATGGTTCTGGCATAAGTTTTTCGCACAGTGCAACATCTCTTTCAAGCAGATCTTGGTGCTGTCTGTACAGTTCTCTAGCAAGGTGGTTGGAGCTCTGGCGCTTCAGTCTGTTTTTTGTTCTGTCTTGAAATTTAAAATGCAGTTGGTGACTTTGAAGTCTTTTTAATTTCTCATACTGTAAAAGAGTTTTGTATTGTCTTCTGAGTTCGAGTGGTCCAGTATCTGCTATCCTCTCTATCTCTCTGATGGGGGTGGTTTTCATTGCTCCGAGAACAATCCTTAATCCCATATTCTGAACCTTATCCAGTTTTCCTATTGTTATCTTGGCTGCTGCAGCCCATGCAGTGGAGGCATTTTCCGTGACTGGTCTGACTGCTCCAGTATATACTTGTTTTAGGATTCTGGAGTTAGCGCCCCATGTGGTACCCGCTAATTTTTTCATCACTGCAAGCTTCTTGAATGCTTTTCCCTGTACTGCTTCTACGTGTGACTTCCAAGTGTAACGCCCCAAGAAAGGTTGGACTGTCAGTCTGTGGAATGAGCTGGGTTTTTTTATCCAAATTTTGATTTTTTTTCTTTTTTGGGGGAGAGAGAGAAAAGTGATGATGTGCTTTTTGAATTATTTAGCATTAGACCCCACTTTTCGGTCCAGGCTTCTACATTTTCCACAGTTTTTTGTAACAGATATGAGGCTGTGGTAGTGTATTTGGAGGCAGTCCAAACTGCAAAGTCATCAGCATGTAGGGTATTAGAAATGTGCTAGTGGCAGGTTGCTGTGATATCATTTATGTAAACCAGGAACAGAGTTGGTGCTATTGCACTGCCCTGGGGAACTCCTTCTCTTAGTTTTGTCAGTTTGCCGATGTGTCCATCAATTCTTAATCTGGCTCTGCGTTGGAAAAGAAAGTCTTTGATCCACTTGTACATGTTGTGCACAACTCCTGCCTGTAGCAGTTTTAGTTGTAGGCCTTCTTTCCAAACTGTATCGAAAGCACGAGCGAGGTCAAAGAAGACAGCAAGAACTTCCTTTTTTTCCTGGAAGGCATTCTCAATTCAATTTTTTGTGTCAGATAAGTCAATTGGTCCTCTGTGTTTCTGTGCTGTCTGTATCCTGTCTGCGTGGTGGTGATTTCCGAGTTTGTCTCCAAGAACCATATTAGTCTTTTATTTACTAATTTCTCCATCAATTTTCCTACACAACTAAAAAGGCTGATGGGTCTGTAGCTTTTTGGGTCTCTTCTGTCTCCACCCTTTTTAAGGATAGGCTGGATGAGGGCTTCTTTCCAGGCTGACGGTACTACCCCTTTTTGCCACCTCTGGTTGTAGATGCAGAGGAGAAACTTCTTGGCAGCAGATCCAAGATGAGAGAGAAATTTGTTTGTAATGCCATCAGCCCCCGGAGCTTTCTTCATTTTCAACTCTCCAATTCCAACTTCCAGCTCTTGCATAGTAAACTTTTCTGACATGCAGGCCTCTTTTGTGTTTGTGCTGGAGTCTGCTAGAAGAGTCTTGGTCTGGTTTCGTATTTCTTTTATTCTTTGCATGGGAATATGAACCTCAGTTTCCTTCTGGTGTGTGTCAGCTAGCACATCTGCCGCTACCTTGCCTGTAACAGCTCCATCATCTGTTTGGAGTACAACTTTGGCTTTTTCTGTCTTGTCTCCATTCAGGCTTTTTGTGAGATTCCACAGACGTGATGTGTCCTTCTCTAGGTTAAATGACGCCGTCTTTTTGTGCCAGCTTTCCCTCATCTGATTATTTCTCTCTTTGATGAAGGCTGCTTTTGCTCTGTTATGAAGTATTACATTTTTATCTGTCGGATCCTTCTCTTAATATTTTCCCTCCTGGTACTAAGTTATGAAATGCAGTGTTATTTCTTTTTAACCTCAATGTCTAGCTCTTTTCTCTGCATGCTTTTAGTCTGCCTTTATTTTTATGACTCTGTGGGTTCCAGCGCAAAGAAATTCTCGTTATATTATTCTCAGGTTTTCTCCTATCCAATTCCAGTGTTTTTTCTTCAGTAAATGACTGCAACAGATTTAAATTAAACAAGGAATCTAAAGCTGTTGATGAACAGATTTAGTGATCCGACACCACAAAGTAAGAAAGCCTCTAAGCTAGGGCTATTCAACTTAAGTTTACTTGGGAAACAATATTTTGAAAATGGAGATAGTCACGGGCCAGTAACCCGAATCCTGGCATAGAAAGATCACTAATACAATACAATCAGCAATGATCGGGGGGCCGCTAGTTGAATAGCCCTGCTCTAAGCTATTACAAATGCTCACCAGCTCACTCCCAAATCAGGCGATCATGAAATAGTATCCACTGAATGTTTGTCCTACTAAATTATCAATTTGTTCTTCTTCATCATTCGCATGAATGACTTAATTAGTGTTATGCCTGTTTATAGCCTAGCCGTGACATCTGTGCTTTTTTAGTAAACACATCCAACTTGCTCAGGCATTTCTTTGCTGGGTTAGCCTTACAGGTTGGTTTCATGGGACATGATGTAAACACATCCAACTTGCTCAGGCATTTCTTTGCTGGGTTAGCCTTACAGGTTGGTTTCATGGGACTTGATGTAAACACATCAAACTTGCTCAGGAATTTCTTTGCTGGGTTAGCCTTACAGGTTGGTTTCATGGGACATGATGTAAACACATCCAACTTGATCAGGCATTTCTTTGCTGGGTTAGCCTTACAGGTTGGTTTCATGGGACATGATGTAAACACATCAAACTTGCTCAGGCATTTCTTTGCTGGGTTAGCCTTACAGGTTGGTTTCATGGGACATGATGTAAACACATCCAACTTGCTCAGGCATTTCTTTGCTGGGTTAGCCTTACAGGTTAGTTTCATGGGACATGATGTAAACACATCCAACTTGATCAGGCATTTCTTTGCTGGGTTAGCCTTACAGGTTGGTTTCATGGGACATGATGTAAACACATCCAACTTGATCAGGCATTTCTTTGCTGGGTTAGCCTTACAGGTTGGTTTCATGGGACATGATGTAAACACATCCAACTTGATCAGGCATTTCTTTGCTGGGTTAGCCTTACAGGTTGGTTTCATGGGACATGATGTAAACACATCCAACTTGATCAGGCATTTCTTTGCTGGGTTAGCCTTACAGGTTGGTTTCATGGGACATGATGTAAACACATCCAACTTGATCAGGCATTTCTTTGCTGGGTTAGCCTTACAGGTTGGTTTCATGGGACATTATGTAAACACATCCAACTTGATCAGGCATTTCTTTGCTGGGTTAGCCTTACAGGTTGGTTTCATGGAACATAATGTAAACACATCCAACTTGATCAGGCATTTCTTTGCTGGGTTAGCCTTACAGGTTGGTTTCATGGGACATGATGTAAACACATCCAACTTGATCAGGCATTTCTTTGCTGGGTTAGCCTTACAGGTTGGTTTCATGGGACATGATGTAAACACATCCAACTTGATCAGGCATTTCTTTGCTGGGTTAGCCTTACATGTTGGTTTCATGGGACATGATGTAACTTTATTTGTGTAGTGTCATCTTTATCTACTGGTACTGCCCTAGAGAACCCATCCAGGTCAGCCATGCACTGACTGGGCAGCCCTCAAAGGAAGTCAAGGGCAAAACATG